TTCCTCATAGGCAAACATTCTATTAAATGTAACGTGTGTCTTTTGGTTTGTATGCATTCTTATAGACTGTGCATTGGGCTGGGTGGATCCAAAGCTCACAGAAGGAAATCATTGGTTGATAATAAAGATTGTCTCTCTAACAGTCCGAACTGTCCATGGTGGTATGGGCTGGTGAGTCTCTCATTCCTGGAGGTGTGTAAGCAGAGAGGATGACCACCTAGCAAGACATGGAGGAAAGATCCCCCCAGAGGGGACTGGTTTAGATGGCTCTAGGCCCCTGGCTTTCTGTGGCCTCTATTGCTTACTCTCGGCGGCCTCTATCATTGCAGGGTGGCCCTTCGACAACGCCACATGCAAGATGAGCGGCTTGGTGCAGGGCATGTCCGTGTCGGCTTCCGTTTTCACACTGGTGGCCATTGCCGTCGAAAGGTGAGAGGGTTCTCAACGAGGTTATCCTGGTTGACTGGGCTTGGCACTAGGAAGAGACACTGTCTTCACTGCAGGACCAGGGGAAGGCTGGGGCTGTTCAGAGCACTGTGGTGGGTGCGGCTGAATCTGAGCCAAAAAGGGAAGGCTGTTCTTTAGATTTGGGGAAACTGGATACCACCACCTCCTCTCAAGAGGCTTGGAGGCAGCTCCTAAGAACGTTTAATAGGGACTCCTGAGGCTTATGAGGAGCTTGAAGGCAGACCTTGTTTCCTGGGGAGCAGGAATTCTGCCTTCCATGCCTCTGAGCCAGAGGAGCAAGCTTAATGGGTGGCCATAGTATGGCTGGGAGGCTGTGTGTCCCCTGCTCCTTCACTTCATCTCCACAGCCTCCTTGCTGGTCCCTGGCAGTCCAGGCCCTACGGGCCCCCCATCTCTACCCTATCACCAGCTACTTATGATTCCATCAGATTCTCTGATAAGCCTGGCTCTGCTAATGGAATGGAGCCAGGAGCCAGGGAGGCTCTGCAGGCAATAAAATACTGACTAACTTCAGGAAGTCCTCTTCCCCCTCAGTGAACCCTTTCACTAAGTTACTTAACTAGTCTGAGCCTCAGTTTTTCATCTGTAAAGTGGAAAATACCCTACAGGATGACTGGGAGTCCTCGGTGAGCTTCTCCTTATAAAGCTGATGCACACTACTGGCACAGAGTCAAAATGTCAGCTATTAATATTATTTTCTTTCTTTCTTACACTCACACCCAACTCCTTGTCCTCTTCCCAATACAGGCACTTCTTAGCTCTGCCTTTCTATTTATTTATTTGTTTTTACTACATTTATTGGGATAACATTGGTTAATAACATATAAATTTCAGGTGTACAACTTTATAATACAACATCTGTGTACTCTATTGTGTGCTCAACACCCTAAGTCTAGTGTCCTTCCGCCACCATTTATTTCACCCCCTTTACCCTCTTTGTCCTCTCTCCACCCCTCTTCCCCTCTGGTAACCACCATTCTGTTGTCTGTATCTATGAGTTTGTTTGTTTGTTTGTTGTTTGTTTTACATCCCCCATATGAGTGAAATCATGTAGTTCTTGTCCTTTTTCATCTAACTTATTTCACTTGTTTCTTGATACTCTCAAGAGCCATCCTTGTTGTCGCAAATGGCAATATTTCATCTATTTTATGGCTAAGTAGTACTCCATTGTATATATGTACCACACCTTCTTTATCCAATCATCCGTCAAAGGACACTTCTGTTGTTTCCATGTCTTGGCCACCGTGAATAATGCTACAGTGAACATAGGGGTACATATATCTTTCCATTTTTGGGGGGTAGATACTGAGAAGAGGAATTGCTGGGTTATAAGGTAGCTCTATTCTCAATTTTCTGAGGAACTTCCATACTGTTTTCCATAGAGGCTGCACCAGTTTAAATTCCCACCAGCAGTGTGCGAGGACTCCCTTTTTTTTACATCCACTCTAACATTATTTCTTGTCTTATTGATAATAGCCCTTCTAACAGGTATGATGTGGTATCTCATTGTGGTTTTGATTTGCATTTCCCTGATGACTAGTAATGTTGGGCACCTTTTCATATATGTTGGCCATATATATGTCTTCCTTGAAAAAGTGTCTGTTCAGGTCCTCTGACCATTTTGTAATTGAGTTGTTTGTTTTTTTTGTTGTTCAGTTATATGCATTTTATGTATTTTGGATATCAGCCCCTTTTTGGAGGTATCATTTACAAATATCTTCTCCCATTCAATTGGCTGCCTTTTTGTTTTGTCAATGGTTTCTTTTGCTTTGCAGAAGTTTTTTAGTTTGATGTGGTCCCATTCATTTATTTTTGCTTTTACTTCTCATGCCTTTGGGGTCAAGGTCACAAAAACCCCTCTGAGACCAAGGTCCACTAAGTTTAGTGCCTATGTTTCCTTAGGTGTATTTTATTGTTTCAAGTCTTATATTCAAGCCCTTAATCCATTTTGAGTTAAAGTGATAGATAGCAGTCTAGTTTCATTCTTTTGCATGTGGCTTTCCGGTTTTCCCAACACCATTTACTGAAGAGGCTTTTCTTTCTTCACTGTATGTTTTTGACTCCTTTGTAAACAATTAGTTGTCTATATGTGTGTGGATTTACTTCTGGGCTCTCAATTCTGTTCCATTGGTCTGTGTGTCTATTTTTCTGCCAATACCGTATTGTTTGGGTTATTGTAACTTTGTAGTATTGTTTAAAATCGTGAAGTGTGATGCCTTCGCTTTGTTCTTTTTTCTCAGAATTGCTTTGGGTATTTGGGGTCTTTTGTGGTTCCATACAAATTTGAGGATTTTTTTTTTGTTCTATTTCTGTGAAAAGTGCCATTGAAATTTTGATGTTGATTGCATTAAAGCTGTATATTGCTTTAGGTTATATGGCCATTTTAATAACCCATGAACACAGAATATCTTTCCATTTCTTTGTGTCTTCAATTTCTATCAACAATGTCTTGTAATTTTCAGTGTACAGGTCCTTCACTTCCTTTAAGTTTATTTTATCTTTTTTGTTGTAATTGTAAACAAGATTGTTTTAATTTCTTTTTCTGATATTTCATTGTTAGTATATAAGGATACAATGGATTTTTGCATATTGATTTTGTATCTTGAAACTTTGCTGTATTTGTTTATTGTTATCTTTGGTTTCTGGTTGCTCTGTATTGCCATTGTTTCTTTTTCCTTGTGTTTCTGTCTTCTGTTTTAGTTTGGTAGCTTTCTATAATTTTTTTTCTGTGTTTCCTCTTTTTTTTATGTTATGTGTCTCAGCTCTAGGTTTTTGTTTTGTGATTACCATGGGGTTTATGTTAAAAAAAAGTTTCATAGATACAATAGTCCTTTTTTTTCTGTTGCATCTTATCTTCATTCACCTGTGCAAGTTCAGTCCTTTACCCTTCCCTTTTTATGTTTTTGTTGTCACAAATTACCCTTTTTATGCTGTGCGTTCATTTCCAAGTTGCAGAAATTATAGTCTTTAAAAAATGCTTTTTGTTCCCCTTTAACTGTTATGCTATAATTAAGTTTTAAATACCCTATTCTGAAATAGAGTTGCAATTTCCTGCTTCTGTCTGTCATCTTACTCAAAGTTTTATATACTTTTATCTTTTTGTTTCGAGTTAGAAGAACTTCTTCAAACATTTCTTATAATGCAGGTTTTGTAGTGGTAAATTCCCTTAGATTTTGTTTGTTTGGAAAAGTCTTTATTTCTCCTTCATATCCAAAGGATAACTTTGCTGAATATATTATTCTTAGCTGGTGTTTTCTTCTTTTCAATATTTTTAATATTTCATTCTATTTTCTTCGGCTTGTAGGGTTTCTGCTGAAAATTCTGATCATAATCTAATGGGGTTTCCTTTGTAGGTTACAGTCTTTTTTCCCCCTGGCGCCTTGAAAATTCTTTATCATTAACTTTTGATATCTTTAATATAATGTGTCTTGGAAAAGGTATTTTTGCATTGGAATAATTAGGTATTCTATTAGCTTCTTGAATTCTAGTATCTAGCTCTTTCAATAGGTTTTAGAAGGTCTCATTATTTATTTGAATTAGATCTCTGTTCCCTTCTTATTCTGTTCTCCTTCTGGTATACCCATTATTCTTACGTTGCTTTTTCTAATGGAGTTAGATATTTATCACAGAGTTCTTTCTTTTTTTTTTTTAAACTCTCATTTCTCTCTTTTCTTCCACCTGAGTCATTCCTGGATTTTTATCTTCAAGCTTGCTAATTCTCTCTTTCATCTGGTATGCTGTGTTTCCAATGCTTTCTAATGCGTTCTTCATCTCATTTGTTGAGTTCTTCAGCTCCAGAATTTTTGTTTGGTTCTTTTTTATAGTTTCAATATCTTTGGTAAAATACTCCTTTTATTCATTGATTTTATTTTTTAGCTCATTGAACTGCCTTTCTGAGTTTTCTTGTATGTCACCGAGTTTTTTCATAACTGCAATTTTGAATTCTCTGTCATTTAAATCACAGTCTTTCATGTCTTTGAGTTTAGATTCTGGAAAGTTTTCATTTTCTTTCTGAGTTACCTTGGTTATTCATTGTACTTGATGGATTGTTTCTTTGCCTAGGCATGTGCAGTAGTGAAGTCTTCTTTCTTAGGTACATTTCGCTCTTAACAATTCAGCAGGTTGATAAGTAGAGGTCTTTCTTTTGTTTTCTAGTAGATGCTATAGCGCAAGTTTTTGTTTCCTCTTCCTGCAGTACTAGCACCTTTGGGATCTTAGTGGGGTGGGTTGCCTCAGTTGTGGAAAATGACCCATAGTCCCCAAGCAGGTGGGCATCCTCTCTGTGTATGAGATGCCTCAACTCAGGGTACCACCCGTATGGTGGGATGTGGAGGGTGATAGGGCTCTGAGCTTACAAGTTCCTGGTGCTGCCTCCTTGTAACCAGAAGCTACCAGCCACACTGTGCTATTTGAGCTGTTTCCACTTCTACCAGGTTGTCCCACAGTGCGGGGGGAGATGGGGAGGCGGTTCAGGAGTCTGCAGCTTTGCCTGTTTGCTAGTAATGGTGGATGCTAGTCTGCTGCTGCCGTACCACTGAGATGTGTCTCTCTCTACCTGGGTTTAGCCACACTGGTGCCAGCTATTCAGGCAGAAATGTTGCTTCTGCCACCCTGGCCCTCCAGGATGCTGAGTGTGGGCTACGAGCCAACTCCTCCCTTGTTACCATATCAGCTGGGGCCATGGCAGGTGCTGGGTTGTTTCTGTGGCCCCTGTCTCTGTCCTTCCCCCCATCTTGCCTTTCCTGTTTGTTCTGATATACCCACCTTCATATGTCTTCATGCGTGACTCTGTCAGACATGTTTGTGTGTCAAGCAGGGAAGCCTTTGTTGAATTATAGTTGTTCATCTTGTAACTTTAAGGGAAGGAATCCAAGGGTCTTCTCATTCTACCATGATGTGACTCTGCTTCACCATTTCTAGAATCTAATGTCTTCACCCTAATTGCACCTCTGCCCTTCTCAAATGCAGTCTTTTGTGACCCGTGATTTGCGCAACTGGGGTGATGGAACTTGGTTCCTATCTCTGCAGTGCATATAACTAGCTGGATACTTGGGGAAAATCCCTCTCCTTCACTGATGTTCATTTTGTTATCATTGTTAATGTATTTGTACATTATTGTAATGTACAAATTTGTACATTTGTAATCATTGTAATGATGTGAATATGCAACCTCTTCTGGTGGTGTCAGCCATATTCTTCAATTTCTCATCTCCTCCAGGAAGCCTCTCTAGACTGGCCCAGGACTCTCCACCATCCATTAACTGATAATGCACTATAGCTAGTACTGCATACTTTACGAATTATTTGTTCTCTGGCAGTTTCTTAAGTGTGTGATACTATGAAACCAGTAAGCGAGCAAGGCTTGAGACAGGGCATGAAAGAGGGAGAAGGTGCTGTCAGGCAGGAGGGCAGGACACAATTTGGTAAAGTGGAAAGAGCACTTGGCTGAGAGTCAGCCCCAGGCCTGTGTTTCAGTGCAAGTTCACTCTCTAAATTGCCAAGTGACCGTCCCAGATTAATTAGATTGGAATCTTCGGCCAGGACAATTGGGCACAGGTCTTTCTTAAAATGCTTCAGGAAGTTTTAATGCACAGCAAAGATATATAGCTCCTGGTTTATATGGCTAGGAGGAGCAAGACAAATCTGGGTTCAAGGCTGGTCCTTGCTACTTGCTAGCTTTGTGGCCTTGAGCCAGTTACTTACCCCCTCTGAATCCCAGTTTCCTCAACTATAAATTAAGGTTGTAATAATAATCACTGTTGAGATGTTCTAATGAGGAAATGGTGCAGATCTGTCCTAATACTGTGAAAGCACTGTTGGAAGGACACTAGCCAAGATGACATAGGGACAGCCTATTGTGCAGGCCCGCAAGCTTTTCTGGAGAACCCATAAATAGCTAATAATTGTTTTCTTTGATACACCTACCTAATCGCCTACTTGGGGACAGAATGCACAGACTGATCTCTCTGCTCCCTGCTGGCTATCAGTTGACCTCCAAAAGTGCACAAACAGGATTCATGTTTCCCACACTGCCTGCAGTTTCCTTCTTCCCTCTCTCTTGTAAATCCTATTTTTGCTTTGTTCTTGGCTTATGAGACCAGGAACTGGCTCCACACCCATGAGAAACCAATTTGCTTGCAAACTCAGTTAATAGTCCGAGCTGTTCTTTGACTCTAAGGTGTGATGATGAATGAAAAGTACCCTTACCCACCAGCCCTCCGTCAGGGTTAGCTCTCACCTGGGGACTGCTGGGACCTGCCCAGACCCCCTGCTTCTCTTTTCCCCCTTGCCGCAGATTCTGCTGCATCATGCACCCTTTCCGTGAGAAGCTGACCCTGCGGAAGGCGCTGGTCACCATCGCAGTTATCTGGGCCCTGGCCCTGCTCATCATGTCCCCCTCAGCCATCATGCTGACTGTCACGCGCGAGGAGCACCACTTCATGGTGGATGCCCACAACCGCTCATACCCACTCTACTCGTGCTGGGAGGCTTGGCCTGAGGAGGGCATGCGCCAAGTCTACACGGCCGTGCTCTTCTCACACATCTACCTGGCGCCGCTGATCCTCATCGTGGTCATGTATGCCCGCATAGCCCGCAGGCTTGTTAAGTCCTCGGGCCCCGGCCGGACCCGCGAGGAGGCAGCCATGGAGGGCCGGCGTGGGGCCCGGCGCAAGGCCAGGGTGGTGCATATGCTGGTCGTGGTGGCGCTCTTCTTCACGCTGTCCTGGCTGCCGCTCTGGGCGCTGCTGCTGCTCATTGACTACGGGCAGCTCAGCGAGCCGCAGCTGCACTTCATCACCGTCTACGCCTTCCCCTTCGCCCACTGGCTGGCCTTCTTCAACAGCAGCGCCAACCCCATCATCTACGGCTACTTCAATGAGAACTTCCGCCGCAGCTTCCAGGCTGCTTTCCGGGCCCAGCTCTGCCCACCGCAGTGGGGGAGCCACAGGTTGGCCTATTCGGAGCGGCCCCGTGAGCTCTTGCGCACGCGGATCTTTGTGGAGGTGCAGCCCAGCGACTCAGGTCTGCCCTCCGAGTCGGGGCCCAGCAGTGGGGCCCCCAGGCCTGGCCTCCTCTCACTGCGCAATGGCCGGGTGGCCCACCATGGCTTGGCCAGGGAAGGCCCTGGCAGCTCCCACCTGCCTCTCACCATACCAGCCTGGGATATTTGAGTGGGATAGGGAGGGCAGACCCTGAATCTGAGGACCCCAACTGGACATGGGAGACCTAGAGGTGATAGCAGATTGGTGTGATTTTGAAGAGGGTGTCATGGTGCCTCCCTCTTAAATACAAGGCAGTGGGTCAGTTGGTTAAGAGCTCGCTCAAGAGTTTGAGCTCTGAGCAACAGTGGTTCGATTCCCGGCCCCGAGCTGAGCTCCTGCTGAGCTGCCAACAGGTGGCAGGATGGCTCAGCTAAAAAAAAAACAAAAAAACCTAAATACAAGGCAGTGGGCATCTCTGCCTTGTGATATCTTCTCTAGTACCTCCCCCCTCAGAGAGAGGCAAAGGAGGGAAGGGGGAGAGCAGCTAAGTTTCCCTGAAACCCTTCTGCCACAAATTTCATCTCTTTGAAGTCTCACGATATTTTGAGAATAGACTTTCCTATCCCCCTTCTACAGATCACAGACTGAAGCCTGGAGAGATATGGCCAGCCTAGTCTCTCAGCTGGAAATCTCACAGGAGCGGGGCTGACTGGTGTCTCTATGGTTTTACCATCTCCAGCTGTCTCCAGAAGGGCCCATTAAGATGGAGCACAGTGAAATGTATAAATTTAGGCTGCTGGAAAGAAGCAAAAAACAAAGCTGGTCTGTCTATTTAATGCTTTGTGTCCATGTCTGTCCTGGAGTCCCTCATGTGTTACTGAAGCCACTCGCCTTGACCCCTTCCGAGAACATGGTTTTAGCCCTCCTGCCAGCTCTGTGTGAGTTTGTCTTGTTGGTGTCCCAGGACATTCACTTCTCCCCAAAGTACTATAATAGGACGTCACGCCTGAGCAGCGGTGGAACGTACCCTGGGGAACCTGCACCTGTTGCAGGTCCTCTGGGTCTGAGCCCTGTGGGCATAGGAGATAGAGGTGGGCTCTGTCCTCCCTCCTCTCCTCATAGGGGGCCCACCACAATCACCAAGGCGCAGGCAAGTACTTATAGTGTGGCAGGTAGCTCCAAAGCCACATGGAGGTGTGGGTTTATTTATTCACAGACAGGAGGAAGAAAAAGCACAGTACCCCCTTTCTGCCGTCGGAAGCACTCGTATGCTTGCTGGAGCTGCAAGCACAAAGCCTCCCTAGGCCTTTTTCCCCTGCTCCCTCTGGGGGATGATGGGGAGAAGTTGGCAACCGAAGCTGATGTTCCCTTTGGGGCCTCCTGGAGGATACATATTAAACCTCCAACATGGATAAGTCATGTACCCTATAAAGGGTTTGGGACCGGGAGATCCCTTGTTTACTCTGGGTCTCACCTAGCATGCCTACATTACCTTGAAGAAACAAGGCTTCTCTCTAGGTTATGGGAAGAAATGTTATTGCCTCAGTGATCTTTGCACAGCCCCAGTCACCTGCAGTTAGCTGGACATATCCCCTTATCTCTACACAAAGCACAGTGTTGCTAAAATTTTAGTGATTAAAAAAGAAATGTTTCCAGGGGTCAGGGCAGAGAATGGGACTCTGAGGCTTCAATTGTTTCCTTGATCTATACAAAATAACTTAACTGTGTTTGTTCCACTCTAAATACAGATGTAGGGGCAAAAGAAAATTCCTAAGCAACTGTGTAATCCCTTCTCATCAAGTCCCCAGGCACAAGTCCCCAGGTCTTGTTTGATTCATACAAATGAAACAGAAGGAAATATTATTGTTGCCATTTTTCATAAACAAAGTAACTGAGGCTCAAAGGGGCCAAGGTCACAGGCCACAGAAGAGCGGGGTTTGGGTTAGAATTTGTCTTCTGATGGTTTCTTCCTGAGCTGCATCTTGCCTCTCAAGGAAGGTAGATTGGGCATCACAGGGAGGCTAGCTGCAAAGTCCCACAAAGATTTTCTGTCTGGCAGTGAACCAGAATGTTTTTGGAACTAACTCAAGCTCTTGGTCTGGGAAATGAGAGTCGATTGTGTTGACTCTTTTAATATCCGGCCTGAGCTGCTCTGTGTACAATATCTTTAAACCCATGTGTTGTGCAGGCTGCCAAGATCCAGATGTCTACCATGACCTCACCTGATGTCTGGGGGTGAAGGATAAGGGTCTCAGGGGAGGGGGGCGTAATATGCCATCCTATCCCTCATTAGCTAATACACGTATGGGCCCCATTTTGGGTGTTGTATCAGTGTTATGAGTCACACAGACCAGACAGTTAGTTCCCTGCTGCTTACTGTGAAGAACTCTGACTCCAGGCTCTAAAAATAGGCCAGAGAAAGAGCCATCTCAGACCCCAATGCTTGTCCCTGTGGCTGGGTAAGATCTGTCCAGAGACACGGGTCTTTTCTCTTGGGTGTGTTCCTCCTTTAGCATGGACTCCCTGACCACAAAATCACAGCCTCTGCAGTCGGGGGAGACCAGGGCTCTCACCCAAGCCAACATTTCCACCAAGGCCCCTTTGTTTCATTTCCCCCAAAAGATGCCGTGCTTTGAAAGATTGTACCTGCCAAAAAACTGCTCGAGGTCATAACTGATATATTTTGCTGTTATTTTTATGTATTAAAAAAAGATCAATCAAAGGCTATGCCTGACCATTTAGAGATTGGATCTGAATGGGAACAGACATGACTTGATGCTTTTATAAGGGGGTGAGGCCTTGTGGGTACCTGTAGAGTGTTTGGTTTTTTGTGTATGTGGTAAAATATACACAACATAAAATTTACCAATTTAACCTTTTTGAAATGTACATTTCAGTGGCAGTAAGTGCCTTTGCGTTGTTGGATAACCATCACCACTATCTGTTTCCAGTTTTGTTTTTGTTTTTTTATAGAAAACGTAGATTTACTTGTTAATGCTATTACAAAGACAAAACAATTATCATCTGAAGTACTTTGAGGACTTCATCCCAATTTCACTTGTTCTGTTACAGAAACTGACATAAGAGGCTAGAAATTAAAGGATATAACCTGAGAGATTATAACAGAAGAAACTGGTGGAACATGGTGAAAGGAGCAAAAGCTAGTTACAGTTTGGTAGTATGTATGGCTGGGATGTTTCCGAAGAGGCTCTACGGATGCCTGAATGAATTAATCTGGGTCCCAAATTAGTAAAAAGATCCTTACCCCTGTGGAGAATGAGCAGAGGCCAAGATCTCTCTGAGATCCCTTTGTCTCTCTTCAAGGGCTAAGAGTATCCTTCTGCCCTAAAAGGGGTACGTATATCTTAGATTCAGCCTCTGTCCCATCCAATCTACCTAGACCTTTAAGTCCTGTGCATTTTCACCATAGAGACCTGCTGGGTTATGGAAGATGCATACACTGAAGGCAGGAATATAGGCTTAGTCAGAGGGTACCTAGACACAGGAAGTTTGGGGGTAAATGACAAACTACAAATACCCTCTTGGTTACGTTAATTCGCCTTTGTTCATAAAGGTCATAATTTCTGCTGGTGACAACTTGTTTCAGTATAATCTGTCTCAAGAAAGAACTGGTTCAGATAAGTTTTGGAGAAGAAAAAATACTTCCATCAACACCCATGCCACAGTGAAAAGGGCACCAAGCTCTTTCCTACAGTTAATTATGAGCAGAATTCCAAAGCAGCATGAAATCATGTTTAGTGATCAACATCTGCATCTTCAAATAGCCCAGCAACTGCTGGTAGTATCTGCCTCCACCCCATCTTCATAATCTCTTACTGAATCTTCTGTCCGGACTCCAGCCATGTTATATTGGCTGCTCACAGACTGAGAAGGCATTCCTTCTGATCCCTCCAATGTGGCTTGGCCTTCTGCTGGTAAATGAGATAATCCTTCTTCCTAGGTGTAAAATGTAGGAATGTCCCCCTGCTCTTGTTCGTGTGCTTCTACATCATAGTCTTCTCCATCGTAATCATCTGGCTCTGGATGCAAAGCTTGGCATTCACAGATTGCAGTGATCATTGCCTCCAATGTTAATTTATCACTAGGCACAAATCTAAATTCAGGAATAAGTTCAACATCATCATCACTGTCTTCCTCTTCTTCGTCAGCAAGAGTCCTTCGTTTCTTCTTCAAATTCAGCATTCACCACAACATACAAACGCTCTCATGGAGATGCATTTAGATCCCTGGACACTGCATGCAAACAAATGGTGGGCCATTCCAGTGAGAATCCTAACCCAGAGCCATCTAACCAAGACAGGTGGCTCAAAAATCCCCCGGCACTGTCACAATTCAGAAAGGAGTATTCCAAATTTGAGCGCCCAAATTTTCAAATACCCAGAGCCAGAAAACTTTCTCTAATGACTCAGGAGATGGAAAAACTCTCACTATGTAAAGGGTGCCGGTGCTCAGGCCCTTTTCTGTTCAGCACAGCCTCCATATCTAGCTGCTGCCAGCAGAGCCCCTCATCTGACCCCCAGTGGTGGGAAACTTTTGAGGAAGCTCGTTGCAGCAGTGAGCACTGAGATACAGCTCCAGATTTGTTTTTAACATCCCAAACTGCAACTCTGTGCCCATTAAACATCTCCCCATCCCTCCAAGCCTCTGGCAGCCACCACTCTACTTTCCATCTCTATGAATTTTACTATTCTAGGTACCTCGTACAAGTAGAGTCATATAGTATTTGTCCTTTGTGACTGGCCTGTTTCACTTAGCGTAACATCTTCAAGGCTCATCCATGTTGTAGCATGTATCTGTATTTTGTTCCTTTTTAAGGACTGAATAATATTCCGTGTGTGTGTGTGTGTGTGTGTGTGTGTGTGTGTGTGTGTGTACATTTTGTTTCATTTTTCAATGAACACATGGATTGTTTCTACCTTTTGACTATTGTAAATAATGTGTGGCATTTTAAGAGGTTGGGAGTAATTCCTGAAAATAGTTCCTATATGAACCTTGAGGAGAGAGACCCCAGGTTGGGAACCTGGGATTTCTTCCAATTTAGCATTTATGGGTGACAAAGCATATTCTCTGAGGGAAGCTGATTGTGTCCCTCCCCTGTGCCCACCCCAGCTGCTCTGAACTCTCCTTGCTAGACTTTAGTTCTTGACTAAAGTGGCTAGAAAATTGTATGTTCCCTCCATAGGGTGATATTTTATGAAGTTATTTGTATAAATATAGCTTTGTTATCTTCACCAAAATCCTGTGTCCTGATACCCGGGCTCTGTCAGGAGGCTTTTCCAGCTACTCCAAGGCATGCAAGGTCAAGCATAGCGGACTTCTCTGGACGTGCCGTCCTCCCCCTACGGGCTGGTTGGGTCTCCTAAGGTCACTGTCCTTTCAGGGGTAGAAAGTTTGGAAATGAATTGGATGTATGATGGAGGAAAAGGGCCAGAGGCCTGTTGACACTGAGTACTCCCACCCCAGAGGGGCTCTTGGAGGGACTCCGTGTCCTGTCCTGCCATGTGCAGCACAAGCGGTTGTGCTAATCATGGTCTTTACTGATGAATGGTCTCTTGACTTCACCAAGACCATGGAGCACTCAACAGACCAACGTGAGCTGGAGGTGGGCACCCAGCCTGGACCCCACAAACCACAATTTGCCCAGCCCTATGCTGAGGACTTTCTCTGGGGGCCTGGAGGATGCATGAGTTGATTTGGGTTGGAATGGAGGGCGGAGTTGGCAAAGTAGGATGAGAGCCCCCTATCATTAGTCTACTGTGTATTCATCCAAAAATCAAGGTGAGAGCCAAACCAAGAGCTGGATGAAAGAGCATTGCTATTAAGCTCTGTACCTTTTTGCATCTGTTTCCTTAGCTCACCCCTCACAAGTGCCACTGAGGAAAGATAGATGAGAAGGAGGTGACCCAAATGGGCTTCATTACAAGCAAACAATGTTGAATTAACAATGGCATCCTTGTTAAATAACCCAATTATGTATGTTTATGGCATTTTATTGTTTTTTTCCTCTCTCTCTACAAAAGCATTCCATAGTCACTGTGGAAATTTTATAAAATTTAGATAAGCAAAGAAACAAAAATAAAAAGCACCCAAATCCCACCACAAGAGATAAGCATTAGTCATTTTCTATGCATACTTACCTATATGTTTAAATTCTTTGTAACAGCTTTACTAAGACATAATTTGTATACAATAAAAGTCACCTATCTTAAGTATACATTTTGGGTAAGTCTTAGTTATTGAATACAATTGTGTAACCACCATCACACTCCAGATATTTCCAGCAACCCCCCTAAAATTCCCTTGTGCCAATTTGTAGTCAATCCTCTCCGCCTACTCCTGGACCAGCTAACTACCCATGTGATTTTGGAATGTCATATACGTAGAATAATACAGTGTGTAGCTTTAAGTCTGTCTTCTTTCACTTAGTATGACTTTTTGAGATTCATCCATATTATAACATGTGTTAGTAATTTGCTCCTTTTTCCTGATGAGAAGTATTCCATTATATGGATATATTGCATTTTGTTTGTCCATTTGTTAGTTGATAGACACTTGGGTTGTTACCAGTTTTTTATGAATTTTGAATAATGCTGCTATGAACATTCATATACACATCCTTATATGTATATATATTTTGAATTCTCTTGGTCAAATACCTAGGAACAGGTTTGCTGGGTTGTATGGTAAATGTATAGTTTAATGTAAGAAACTGCCAAAGTGTTTTCCAATGTTGTTGCACCATTTTACATTCCTATCAGGAGTATATGAGAGCTCCAGTTGTTCTTGCCAACACGTAATAGTATCTGCCTTTTAAATTTTTTCCTGATAACTCGTGATGCTAGACGTATTTTCATTTGTTTATTGGTTATTCTTATATCTTTTGTTGTAAAGTGTTTTCAAATTTATCTTTTAAATATATGATTATAGGGCCGGCCNCGAATTGGCCTCATTTGGTTGGCTTGAGTTATGTTTGTTGTATAATTAGTATGTATAGCAAAGTACTTTGCAGTAACATCTCAGACCATTTTGAGTAATGAAGAAATACAAAATGATGACCCTATGTTTATTGATGATACCTTGGAATACAGAGTACTAAGGAAGGAAAAGATTTTCTTGACATAATAGCTGTTTTTTGTATGGTCCTAAGTGTCTTAGTTCAGGCTGCTATAAGAAAACACCACAGACTGAGTAGCTTATAAACAGCAGATATTTACTGCTCCCAGTTCTGGAGGCTGGAAGTCTGAGATGAGGGTGCCAGCATGGTCAGCTGAGGGCCCTCTTCTGGTCACAAAGGTCTTGTATCCTCACATGGCAGAAGGAGCTAGGGAGTTCGGTGGGGCCTCTTTTTAAGGACGACAGTCCCATTCATGAGGGTTCTACCCTCATGTCTTAAACCCTTCCCAGAGGACCTACCTACTGTACCATCACCTTTGAGGGTTAGGATTTTGACATGAGTTTTGGGGAGACACAAACATTCAGACCATAGCAATAAGTGATTGGACAGTATTCCAGCCAAGAACCAGAATGACCATTACGCTTGTGGTATCTAATCCTATTGCTGCTTCAGGTTATCCCAAAATAGGAAACCGAGACTATGTTTTGGTGTCATTAGAACATCTTCACTCAAATTACCCTGGGACTCCTTGAAGTCTTGTATGGAACTGGTTATGTCTGTAATGTGGGATTAATCAAATGAAGACTGCTTTTGTATCACCCAAGTCTGGCTCAAAAGCACAAGCTCTTGCAACAACTCTGGATTTCATCAGTGGTCCAGACCTCAAAAAACCTTAGTCCTTGCAGGAAAGAGTTCTTTTGTTTTGCTTTGTTTTACAGGAAGTTTAGTGTGTATAAAACAAGTAAGGGTGTGGTACACAGATNAAAGCAATGTCCTCAAGGGACTCTGAGCTCACGCCTGGACTTTTACAATGCTTCCATCTGAGGTACCTGAGGACCTGGGGTGATCCGGCAAGAAGCAGGCAGAGTGAATCCCTGAGTGCTTACAACGAGCCAGGCTTTTCCTCCAACTCTTGACTTGTCGATCTCAGTTAATCTCCCCAACAATCCATAAAATAAGTTACTATGATGACTATCTCCATTTCCCAGATGAGAAACTCAGAAAGGTTAACTTGGCCTGATGTCATAGACAAGAAAGTGGTGGAACCGGTACTTAGCTGGTAGCCATTACAGGTGTCAGTAATATACCTCAGCTTTGCTTAAACGGATCAGAAAAATGCAAATGCACATCCTTAAGACCGCAGGCAAGGTCTGTCTGGTAAAGCGGCGGAGTTATAAACCACTTTCGAGATAAGAAATTACTTTGTGCGGAAGGGTGTGTGAGAGTCAAAGGTGAGTTCCCAGCGTGTGGATGGGGAGCTGCCAATTCCTAGCTGGTCCCAGCTGTGAACTTGAGCTTTTACCCTCCTCTGTCACAGCCCCAAAGCCAAAGCCTGCGGCCAGCCACGTGGCCCAGCCTAGGAGCTACGGGGCGGGACCGCGGAGGCAGGGCCCGAGGGGGCGGGGCTGGACGCGAGGACGCGCGGGACGAGCGGAGTGCGCCTGCGCGCGAGGTGGGCCGGGCGGGGGTGGGGTAGGCACTCTAGCCAGAGCCCAGTTAAAGGCCGCTCCCAGCGCCTCTTGCCGGTCCAGTTTGCTCAGTGCGCAAGCGCGGAGGGTTCTCCTTGTCAGCCGGCGCCGCGTGCGGGCGAGTGGCTCTGTGGCAGCGGCAGCGGCAGCGGCGGCTGTTAGTCTCCTGCACGATGAGCGGCTTCAGCAGCGAGGAGCGCGCCGCGCCCTTCACCCTCGAGTACCGAGTCTTTCTCAGTGAGTGTCGGCGGTCCGCGGCCCCTCCTCGCCCAACCGTCCATTCATTCCCGGGCCTCGCCTCGCGTCCCAACCTGGGCGCCTGCGGCCCGCGCTTGGCCTCGCGTCCTGGGCGCGGGCTGGGCTCCTCCAGCCGGTCCCCGGGGCCTGGGCCCGCCCGGCCATCCCATTTCACGTGTCCGGCCCGCGGGCGGGACGGCGTGGGTCGGCGTTTTTCTTTCACAAGCAGGGTTGGACCCGAACCTGGGTCAGGCTAGTTTTGCAGGTGTACGGCTCGGGCAGTGTGTGATGGGAAAAGGAAACCTCTGAGTCACNCGAATTGGTTAGAACATCTCAAATTGGACTTTAGTCTCTCCCCACCCCCATCATCTCTATAAGATTCTCTCCATTATTTGATCATTTGGAAGGCAGATAATGTAACCAAGTAGCTTGTGATTTTAGGCAAAGAGGTTGGGAAACAGATTATTACTAGTGTGCCTTGGTTGCTTTTAACTGCATTTGACAGGATACTACAAAAAAGAGATGCGCTTAGAAAAGAATTGGCTATTTTGTGAGCAGGGGTGAAAGTGAAAATCAGAGGTTCCAGGACAGGCAGGGTCGAAAGATGCAACTGTTGCTCATCTCTAACCAATAAAGGATAGAAATTAAGAAATGCTTTGAGTGCCAAGGCTGATCAAATCTCAAATCAAAACTCAGCCATGGGATAGAAACCAGATTAAGGGCATAAGCAATGGCTTCCAGTAAGTCCTTTGTTGGATAAAATGGTTCATCAGGGGGGATAGACTAAGGGCATGTTCTCCAATGGAGGCTTGATAAATTCAACTTACCTTACCAATTATGCCTAGAGAGAGGCATGTCTTGAAAGAATTATAGGTGTGGTGATTGAAACATGGTGCTGACTAGAATCAGGTAAAACACTTTCCAAGTTGTAAAGAGAGATGCACAGCCAAGGTACACCAGCTTGGATTAAGAGGTCATGACTTTTAGAGAACAACTTTTGGGCTCCCAAATATCTGTGGACAGGAAGGAAGCTGAAAAAGCTGCTTAGCCCCCAAAGAGTATATATTTTCTAAATGTGACCAAGAGGGATAATGGAAAAGAAAGGACCTTCCAGAGAGAAAAGCCAAGAGCTACAGAAGAACAATAATAGGGAGCTACTCTCAGGAAGCTGGACTGGAACTTAATCAAGGACTATTTCTTATAGCCAACAGGAATTTGGAATTCTAAGAACCAGTGATGGTTGTATGCTCCCCCATATTCTTTCTTTTTATAAATGAGAATGTTTACTTCAGTGTTCATTCTGTCCTTGTTCAACCTTTTCACATTAAATAAATATAGGTGTGGGAGGCAATAGATAACACTTGTTTGTTTTTAAGTTTGGAAGTCTCTGGATGAAGAGGAGCCCTATTTGGACGTAATGCAGAAACTATCATGAAACTATCACTACTAAACTTTGACCCTGATGTCATGATTTGTTGAGACTTTTGGGTATCACTTTTTGTAAGTAGAGTGAGTATATTTTCAATGTATAAAGGGGATAAACGAATATTTATGATCAAAGAAGTAGACTGTGATAAGTCATAATTATTTTCACCTTCCATCCCAAACTATCTCAGCAATTGACATACCATTCAACCAGTTATTGTAGCCAGAAACCTAGAAATCATCCTCAAATCCATCTCCCTCTTCTTTCACTTTGTCCAACCAATAATCAATTTCATTAATTCTATCTTGAATATAGCCCAGTATTCAATCTTCTCTTTTGCCATCCAAATCCAGGGCACCACCATCATCTTTCACCTGGACCACTGCAGCCACCTTCTCATTGTTCTCCCTGACTCTAGTGTTGCTAAACCTCAAGCCAGGTGCCAAGCTGCTAACAGAGCCATTTTTAAAAGCAATTCTGATCATGTCATGTTCCCGCTAAAACCCTTCTTAAGTTTCCCACTGTTCTTAGGAAAAAAATCCAAACCCCATATGAGGCCTTCCAAGGCCCTCCNAAAAAAAAGATTATATTGTAGACACTGTAGGACAAAAATTTGCTCCAAATCTAAGGGGAACGTATCACTAACAGATGGCTTCTAAATGGGTTTAGAGTAAGAAAAGAATATGAACTGTGATAGAGGTGGGATGGCTATTTTGATAGGTGGTTAGGAATGGCCTCTCTGAGGAGGTGACATCTGCGTACAGATATGAATAAAGTGAAAGAGGGAGGCATGTGAATAGCTGAGGAAAGAACAACCCAGACACAGAGAGCATCATGTGCAAAGGCCCTGAGATCAATGAAAAAAGAATTACATTGAATTTCAATAATTACATTTCTGGTCAACTCAAAACATTTATTGAGTTCTCGTTAAAAGCCACACACAGTTCTAAGAACTTTGTGTCTGTTATTTATTTCTCATAACAGATCATAAAGCTCCATGAGGACAGGGGCTACGTCTATTTCACTCATTTTTGTGGACTCAGATTTAGGACCATGACTGGTACATAGGGACTCAATAAGTGTCTGTTGAATGAGTGAAGTAATGCAATAAGCAAGTACAGTAAAACCTTGGATTGTGAGTAATGTGGTTTGTGAGTGTTCCACAAGACGAGCAAACATTTCTAATAATTTTAACATGGTAAACGAGTGATGTCTTGCAATACGAGTAGTTTGTTTCCGGAATGAATTATGCTCACAAACCAAGGTATTACTGTATTTATTATTATTCCCATGTTATAGATGGAAAACCAAGGCTCAAAGAAGTTAAGTAATTTATTGAAAGTCGTATAACAAGGAGGTGCTGAAGGTGGATTTAAATCTCGGTCCATCGGACTAAGAAGCCAGGTTTTTCTGCCTCTCCCCCAAACTACTGTGGAGTCTCCTTCCTATATTTGGGAAACTGAGGTTCAGAATAAAAGAAAGAGGTTTGATGGAGGTTTCTTTAATTCTAAAAATAAAACCATCTGACCACAGGCTCCAGACTGCTGCTTTGGCCACAAGACCACATTTCCATCTCATTCAGTGGCTTCCAAAGATTTGAGATGGAAGGAATACCAGCAGTTTAAGTAAAAAGTATAAATTTAGTTTGCTCCAACACTGCATCATGCTTTCAAGGCAGCCATGGGCTGAAAGAGATCCTTTCGACTCCTCTGCCTGAGGTCATTGACAGGGCAAAAGCTGCCGAACTGGCTATGGAGTCCTGCCTTGAGTTGTGTTCTCTTGCTAGCTGCAATGCCCAGACCTTTGAATCCTGTCACCAACAAATACTGCTGTTGTCATGTGCAAGCAACCAAATTAATGGGGATGGAAAAACCCAAGCTTAGTGATTTGGGTAAATTAATTTATCTGTCACATCGCCAGTGGTGGTGTTCAATCACTCTCTGTTTGAGGAGTAATCACTCCCTACCCCCACTCTGTCTCCCCCTCTGTGGGGAGGTTAGAACAGCCAAAGCCAAGCTGTTTCCGTGCCTGAGAGACCTACATTTATGTGTTTTGAACGTCCCCAAAGAAGAGCATTTCGCATAGTGTATTTTGTTCATTCTGAGTGCTGTCTGGCAGTCCTTTGAAGCACCTCTAATGATCATAATCACCCCCTTTATTCTCATCTAGTCTTTGGAAAATGATTCTGTTACTTATGCTATAAATTATAGAAAATAAACTCACTGTGAAAGAGTTTGGTGTTTGCTGTTTTCTTTCCATCGAATTCATAGTTTTCCCTCTTTTGCATTTTCACTGTGAATGAAAAGTTTCCTGGCAAAACAGTCATCCTCCCCTCAAAAGGATAGATAGTAGGCTGTGTTACCGTCAACATAACTGCAGTATTCCTATTTTACATATGGGAAACTGAGTGTGTAGAAGCCAAGGCATTTCCTTGACATCCCCATACCTCATAAGTAGTGAAATAAAAAGAATTTTTCAGGTTTTCTGGGTTGCAGTCCAGTGCTCTTGACACTTCACCAAATTACCTACTTGGTTAGCTCCCCACTTTTAAGTGTATGTGACAGGTTAGACCAAACTTAATTCTGCCATGTGCACACTCAACAAACTTAGCGTCTGTTGAGTCTGGGAACATAGGAGACCTCTCCACAGTCCAGAGAGCAGAGATAGAAAAGAGAAAAATCATAATGTACTTTCTTGATGGGGTATTGTACTTGGTCAAAGAAGCAATGGAACAGCCTGAGGGGCATTATAAAAGGGATCCCATAAAAACTTCAAATAAGTCTTAAAGACTGAGCTAGAGACAACCAGGTAGAGAGGAGAGTTTGAAGCCGGGAAGTGGTGTGTCAGATCTTCATCTGTTAAAGCTCATGCTGGCATCAGGTAGAGAATGACTAGGAGGAAGATGAACCTGGAGACCAGTGAGGCAGGAGGTATTTGTGGGAATCCACGTGAGAAATCCTAGGATTAGCTAAGGCTGAAGAGATGGAGAAGAGACGACAAGCTCAGGAGGTGTTTGAGAGATCCATGCAATGTTAACTGGTAGCTGGTATGTTGTGGGAGGATGGGATATCATCTAGGATCTTTTAGTTGCCATTACATAAATCTGACTCAAACCAGCTTAAACTAAAGAGATATATTGGTTCATAGAATAGTAAATGCAAAGGATTGGTTGCTTCAGGGGTTCAACAATGTCATCAAGGACCCAGCTTGTCTCCATTCCTCTCCTCCACGTGCAATGTGAACTACGTCCTCAGGCTGGCTCCCCTCATGGTCCAGAATGCGGCTATCAGCAATCAGAACTACATGTTTTCTTGTTTACATTGAGAGAGAGAAAGTGAGAGGGAATATCTCTTCCATGACTTTCTCCTAGCAGAGCAAAGTAACTTCTCAGAAGGAAGCAGCAAACTCATTGGTTGAAAGTGCGTCAGGTATCCATTTCTGAACCAACCCCTGTGGCTAGGGGAATGCCATGTTCTGAATCCCATGTTCTTGGATGGGGCTCTGGAATAGTTAAAGGGGCTGGGATTTCAACGATTGATTTAAACTAATCAAGGCCCATCTCTAAAACTAGATAGAGTCCATCTCCAATCAAATTAATCTGGGGAAGGGGGTGAAAGACTGTTGGGAAGTTGTGTCCATTAGAATGGTTTTCAGCTGCAAGAAACAGAATACTCTGAGTCAAACTGGTTTAAACATAACAACAACAAAGTCACATGAGATAATCTCACACAATTTATTAATTATTAATAAAGTCAGCTTATTATCTCCTCATAAGAAGAACTGAGGCAGGGAAGGCTCAGAGTT